CGAGGGTTGACCGAGAGTTGACCGAGAGTTGACCAGAGGGTTGACCAAGGAGGTTGACCAACGTTGACCGGGCCGTTGACCAAGCCGCCGTTGACCAAGACTTGACCAAGCTGGAGTTGGTGAGATCTCGCCAAGCCTTCAGCCTTCTCCCTACCCCGTCGATGTACACTCACCCATTGGTACTTACTAGGTCAAGAGTCTGTCTGTCTCTCCTTTTTGCATTGAGTCTCTTCTGTCCTAGGTGATAGAATCTGTGGATGAAGGATAGGGCCTTGCTGCCAAACCCACACGAGCTTAGTAGGACTCCTACTCTGAGACTTGAGGACCTGGGCATGAGCGGCGAGCGCTCGTTAAACAACTCGTCTAGCCCAATGACCGGTACTGACCGGCAGGTTTTTCAATATCAGTTTAGTGGGTCTGAACTCTGAGCTGTGGGCTGAAACGTGAGGCCTGGTTGAGCCACTCCCCTACCGGACCTAGCAAGGCTGATGATCTGTGTCTGACGACTCGACTGTCCCGAGGGATACGAACCCCTCCAAGGACCGGTACAGACCGGCGGGCTGCTCGGTGTGGCACAATAGGCTGGACGGGCTGAGTTGTGGGCTGAAATCGMYAGAGGAACCAAGCTGATCGCGTCGTCCTGTCTGCGACGTTAAAGAATTATTGCGAAGTTGGGGGATCTTCTAAAAAACCTCCTGATCAACTTTCGGTTCTGTAGTGACAACCTTAGAGTAGTCTTGGGTTAGTTGTTTGTGGTCCTTAGGGAGTCAGTCAGTAGGTCAGWGTGTCCGGGTAGGTCTACGTGGTGAGGAGTGGGACCCCTGTCGTGCACCAACACCACGATGGATGACTGTCCGATGTATGGGGTACTTGTTGGGTTCTCCCTCTGGGGGACCCTCTGGCGTCTCCTCTTTCCTCTGGGCTTTTGGCCCACTTTCACGTGTAGAGTAGGGCCGACTCGCGGTGGGACGTCCACCACCCCCTACACGAAGGAGGAGGAGAAGATGGCCGCCCTTCTACAGGAGAAGAAGGAGAAGGAGGCCAAGAAGAGGGCCTTGAAGGAGGAGCAGGGGGCCAAACTGAAGAAGATGGAAGAAGAAATGGCCAGAGAGAAAGAGAGGTTGAAAAAGAAAGAAGAAGAGAAGTTGGAAGGAGGTGGATGAAGAAGAGGAAGGACCGCCACTGCAAAGGAGTAGTGGGCAGCCCAGTAGTAATACCGGTGGAAACCTGGAGAAGAGGATCTCTGAATGGGTTGCCAACCTGACTGTGGGAGAAGAGGAAGAGGTTAGTATGTACATCCCGCAGGATCAGCAAGAAGCCGCCATGAAGGCTTGGGAGGCAGAGAAAGACCCWCTGAAACGTCAAGCATTGGAAGACGAGAAGAAGATGGAATGGAAATTAGCGGTGATGAGGGAGAAGAAGAGGAGAATTGACAAGGCAGCGGAGGCGGCAGAGGCCTTAGAAGAGGWRAAGAACATAGAGACGCAATTAGCCGCCCAGCCYGATCTCCCGAATCAGATGCGAGTCATAGCGCGKAGCATCGCATGCCTGGCACGGGTTCAGGCAGACCAATATGACTTTAGCAGAAGTCAGGACATAGCTGTGCGCTCGATACGATTGGGCTTTCGAGACTTTGCTCGTGAGTTGGTAGGCGCCATTGGAGTCGAGGTGGGTCACCGCCTCGACAAGACTGAGCGGTTCTGCGCTGGCGCCATTGAAGGCGTCAAGGCGGCAGMTCCCAAGGAGGAGGAAGCACGTCCTCCTCGCCGGGAGCCTGTCAAAGTCAAGTTCCCCGATTCCTACAGCGGGATGAGGGAAGAAAACTTTGATAATTGGGAGGCCAACGTTAAGACCTATGTGCACTTGCAACAGGTCTCCCTAGATCAGGAAGTCTTAATTGCTATCCACGCACTGAGAGATGAGGCCGCCAGTTTTGCAAGGTCCTTAGTTCACGCTGCCAACTGTAGTGATGATCCCGTTGCGTACTCCTCATTTACGTCCCTCACCGAATTTCTGAAGTTGTTGCGCGAGCGATTTGCTGATGTCGCTCGCAGTGTCAAGGCCTCAGACAAGCTCCAAACCATCCATTCTCGTAAATGGAAGAGTGCCAGGGCACTCAAGGGTACAATGGATGAGTTGGTGGCCGTCCCTGACCATGGGGTCACAGAGGGCCAGTTGGTCAACCTCTTTTACCGGGGTATGCCCGCAGCCTTTCGAGGGCAGTTCTTCGCGAAAAGCGAAGACCCTGCCACCACTTATGATTCCCTTAATCATGAGGTGGTGACTTTTGAAGCAAAGTCAGTGTCTCTGTCCACCTTCTGGCACAAAGACTTGGACAGGGATAAGCAATGGAAAGGCCGCACTATCTCAGGGCAGGTAAAGACCAAGGATAGCCTTGTCCTGACTTTAGATGAGGGTAGCGTGGATGAGATTCCCTACGACCAGATTGAGTGGGGATTAGAGGAGGCGGACARCGGTGTGGGTCAGGGGAGATCCTACGCTGCTGTCGCGGCCGGAGGGAGGCCGCAAGGAGGA